TTAGTACATGCTTCAGGAACCTGACAGAGTAGTGTAACCTACAAAATATGAAAATATTACACTTGAGCACAAAATGAGAAAATAAGAAAAGGTAGCACATCGTGAATTAGGATATACGATATGAAGATGTCAAAACATTCTTTGACTATGTATTGTTACTTGAAGCAAATCCATCGTAATAGAATCCTTGACATCACAAACAGAGAAAAGAAATAGAAACTAAGCAGACAGAAATTAATTATATTATGTGATATGGAGGCCCAGATATTAATTAATGACAGGCAAATTAATTAGAATGTATTCTTGTTAACAAATATTGTTGAAGTGAATGATTTTTAATACCAAGAATTTGAACTGCTATGGTCAGGATTCTCAAATGTAGGATAGGATATTGATGAAGCCTATAGGGCATTACAATGAATATATGCAAATTTGTAAGCGATGTGTATGAGGTTCATATGTCCCCACGATTTATGGATTCAAAGTTGAAAATGAAATCAAAAATGGGATATTCAACTTGTATAAGTCGAACACAAAACTTATAAATCTGAGGCACCACATGCTGCAAAACAGGAAGACCTGATTTCTTTTTCAATTGGATAAAGGCCGATTAGGTAAACGCAGAGTGTGTACGTATGGATATGAATCAGATGATGAAAATGGTTAAGAGAGATGCTAACGGTTGCCTGTAAGCAAAATCATGAGAAAGAACAATGATGAAATGCCATTTTACCAAGTAAGGAAATGGAAGAATAGAGAGCTCAACAAACCAAAACAAGAAAAAGCCACAGAGCAAGAAAGATTCAGTATATCAGGAAATTCAATTTTGATGATAGTATGATCCTGAGCATATTTCTTCAAATCTGTCAAAATGTTGCTCACCATCAAAATACCTCCAAAAAGCATGGCATTATCCAATTGTTAAGACCAAAAAGATTAAGAAAATAGAACTACTGAAGTGCATAATATCAAATTCCTTCAGAACTCCACTAGGCAACTAGAACTCAGTATGAAAATGCTCAAACTACTCACAATATGATCCTCGATAAAAGAACTAAACCGTTGGCACATTGACAAAATAGAAAGGATATCACAAAGAAAAGCAATTACAGAGAAGAGCACAAGAAATACCAGCTTAGCATAGCCTTCACTTTCTTCTCGGAGCAAGTTAAATTTTGTTTGCTGATAAAGAAGACGAGTATTTACTCTGACCTGAAATAATTACAGAGGAATTTAGGTAAAAGTAAATGGAAATGCAGTTTCCACCATAAACAAGAAAATGCATGTAATATTTGGAAAATTAACGAGTTACGTGATTTCATGGCCTGAATGGTGCTAGTGTCACAATAAAATTCCAGGGCAGAAGTACCTCTTTAGACTTCAGATCTGCAGCCTTTATCTGAGTCATTTCAGACTCCCATAAAAATTCTTCCTACCATTCACAAGTAAAGAGGGAAATAAAATATTTGCTATTCTTCTCTAATCATAAATTTTACATTAATATAAAAACATAAATTAAACAAGGGAACAAAATTCACCTCACAACGCTCCTGAAAAAATCTCACTGGTACTAGTGCAGATTCCACCAGCCATTTTGCCTAGAAAGAAAAGAGAAAATTATACGAGTCCAAATGATAGCAATTAGCAAGTACTGTTAAATCAGATTCAATACCATCACTGTCTTTTCATTTAACAATTTTCTTCTATTCTTGGTTTCTTCTGACTTTTGAAATTAATAGGGACTAGTTGGTCAAACAATGTGAATCTAATGGAAACAGAAGTCTGAAGGCCACATAATCAAATAACGGTAATCTTAGACAACCAAATGGAGTGTGCATATGAATATCTAAGATCAAAAAGACAAACTAGTATATAAGGCTTATTCCTTTTGTTTCACATGGGTAAAGGGGTGCAGTTATATTTGTCAAAAGTTATCTGTTCTATCTTCTTCTTCATTTCAAATGGTATTCAACCTTCTACATTTGAAAATTAACAAATCTCCGCCTGGACTTCATCTTGAACCAAAATTAGATAAAGAACCAATGTATACAATGCAATTGAAGAGGAAATGGATAGAGAACTAAAATTAGTATTTTACGCACAAGTGTAATTGGTCCACCATTCCAATCCATAATTTCCTAACCTATCAGCCAAGCTTTGCCACTATAACAATCATTGATTCTCTAATTAAATAAGTTGTGACTTGAGAGAATACATAAGCAAAGAAACACTACTGAAAACAGCACTAACATTGCAGAAGATTTGGTGTTTGGTTTAAAAGCAAAGCATTTCCCAGAAAAATCACGTTTTAAGAATGAAACTAGCAGCAGACATTTAAATATCAGTATTAGCATAAGAATAAGTTCAACACTGATGCTGACCAGTTTGATAAGGCGAGAGCGATGTTCACCAAGCATAGTAAGCTGCGATATGTAAAGAAACAAGTATTAGCATTCATCAAGGACTAGCACAGTATGTGAATTTCAATGTTTACTTGTACCCAAGCAATCAAACTTATTTTCCTACTAAACCAAATTATGTTAAAAGCACCCATTTAGGTGCACATAAACATGATACTCAATCACAATGTAATGAAAACTGAAGTCCACAACTATTTGCAAGCTAATTTAATAGGAAGAGTAAAGACGGTGATTTATGTAATTCCGTAAGCTTGGGAAACAGATTAGAGAGTGGAGTCATGAACTTGATTGGCTAATTCGCAATTGTCATGGCAGCAAAATCTGGAGTTGGATTGTGAAGATTGCTTTTTCATCTAGAATCAATTATCTATGGCTCAAAAGTGATGAAAGGAGGAAGAATACAGAGCTATAGCAAAACTTATACTTGACAGTTCAAAAATCAGAGAAGCTGGCTAATGGGAAGTCCCAAAACTAAGAAACGGGAAGTGTCAATTGCACTGAACTTGACACAAGATATTTTTTACCCTTGAGGTTGTTTTGCTATATTCTATGGCTATGTGATTTGACTTATGGAAAAGCTGTAATAAACTAGTGAAGGAATAGATATAATTTGATACTGAGGAGATCAAATGCTCTTACATCTTTTTGTATCAATGAAATTGATTTAGATTATTAAAAAAGGTATCATCAGACAACAGTTTAACAGTAGCCTAACTTTTGATTCAACGTATGATCTTACTATTCAAACACAAAAATATCCAAATCTTTGCATTTACTCCTCCCTTCACCTAAATTTTAATTAGAAAAGTGAAGTGCATGATTATGCAGAGAGTAATTCGACCAATATGGAAAATAATTTTTTATGATAGTCCAATGCAAATTCAACTGGAAGCCTCTATCATATTCTTTACAATACCCAAGTGAATATTATACGGTGCAATAAATGCATAGAAAACTCACGTCTTGAGCCATTTGAGTAACAACATCAGCAAAATTCGATCCAACATCTCCATCCGGACCACAGTCTGCGAACTCCACTGCCTCCAACGCCACTTTACACTTCTGAAATGGCAAGTCTCCTCGGACCTACCACCCAAAAGAACCTCCTAAATTATTAAATGGCCTAAAATACTAGAAATTTCCAAAAATAAAAAGACAGAGCCTAGTGAGTAAAGACTAATGCTAAATTAATCTAATTACAAAACACAAATTTCAAAAACCAGAAAATAATCATCAACTAATAAAAAATGTTTCCCATATAAAAACATATACAAAGGTATAAATTAAATAGTTCCAAAAAACAAATTAACAGATTAGCCAAAACACTGTAGAAGCGCAAAAACAAAAACAAAATAAAAAAAAATGGAAAGATAAATAGCTGTATGCCAAAATTGTCTAAATATAAAAAAACATATAATACAATTAAAACCCAGAAAAATAAGCGTCGGCTAACAATAAATGATACCCGTATAAGAAAAAATACAAATTAATCAGTACCACTGTCCAGCAGAGTTCGTAGAGAAATCGAAGAACCGGGGCAGGTGACGGAAATTTGAAATTCGAGTTTGCATTTTTCAATTCTTTGATGGAGTCTTCAGTTAAGTATATACACTCTACGGGAGGCAGTGACATCTTTAGTTTGATATCCTAATAAACAAAAAGGGGCCTCTGGATTGGAAGTGAATTCAGAAGGAAGAACGATGAGGAAGAGGTAGAAGCGTAATTTCTGTGTTTTTCATGGGTTAATTGGCTGTCGAGGGTTTCAGCTGAATTTCGGATGTGCAAAGGGGTTTGGGGAAGGAGAAAGCCTTGTGTAGTGTTTTTCTAACTATTTCTTTTAGGGCCTACTATGGAGTTCATTTTTCACCCGCTTATAAGGGTTGAAAAATATGAGTGCGAATTTTGACCTCTCTCTCCCTTTTAATTTAGTTTTAGGCCAATAGTAAGTACGTGCATTTCAATTCTTATATGTAAAATGAACTATATGCATAATATTTTTAAAGTAAGGCAATTCTTAACGCTAAAAGAAATTATTCGATTCCAGGATATCTATTGAATAGACGATCGTCAACCCGTTGTTAGTCGGAGTAGGCGTGTTTGGGTGGTCCCGTTTGTAGGTTTGGTAAGAATCAGTATACCTTATTTAACTGTTTTTATTGTGATAAATTTTTATAATTTCATTAAATTCAATTATATCTTCAGTAACAAATAGGTTAAGGAGATCGAGATCTAGAACTAGAAAAGAAAATCAATCAAATGAAAATAGAACAAATGTATTTCAAACAAAAAAAGAAATTGATCATACATCTGCATCAAATGATTTCAATTTTCATGAACTTCAAATTGCTCAAATTGAACAACGTCTTCAAAATTAGACTATTCCAAAGATAGATAAACATATCATCTATGAAATAGGAAATTTTGATTTTTCTCAAAATTATGTTATCAAAACTATTGAACAAACACTTTCAATTAATAGTCAAATTCTTTCATTAATTTACTTACTAAAGAAGCTATTGAATCCCACAAGAAGAAATTTAAATATCTTCATGTTGGATTAGTTCAAATAGCAGTCAAACCCTTTTTTAGACTTGGTCTTGATGTTCCAATTCTTCTTACTCTTAGAGATCAGAGACATCTCAATTTTGAAAATTCAATACTTTCACTTCTAGAAAGTGGTCAAGTATTTTCAAATTGTTATCCAAACTTTTCAATTAAACTTATTGATGGAGCAATTCTCAATTTTCTCAATCTTCATATTCAGACTAAAAATCTTAAATTTGATAGTCGTTTAAATGTTTTTGCGGTAATATACAGAGTATTTTATAAGCTTATGAATACTCAACTCAATATTGGAACTCTTCATTCTTCACCAAGAGATGAAAGTCTTTTAGTTGAAGTTAATCATTTTAACTCAAATGTTGAAATTTCAAAAAGAATTCCATGGAATCTTCAATCTCGTGGACTCAAACGGAATTTTGATAATGTTCAAGCACCTGTTCTTGTTTAAACTAGAACAATTCTAAATCAAATTCTTACTTTTCCAGATTGAAAAGCGAAGATTTTATTCAAAGGTTCATCCTCAAAATTCAAAGATCTTATTCTGATTAATCTTTTTCTACTAGGTCTGAAGAGAAACCTAGACCATCTTTTCAATCTTCATTTAAAGGAGTAGATTTTACTCCTATTATTTCAAAACCTCATTATCAAAATAAATATGAAAAAGATAATGATCAACCAAAATCACCAACTTTTTTAGATACGGTTCATCCCTCCAATCTTGATAATCAATGTAATGTTATATCTTCCGAAATTGATAAAAAGAAAGAATTCAAATATGACCAAGAAATTTGTGTCCAAAATTTTAGAAGACTTTTTTGAGAAAGTTTTTCTTCAAAACAAAAGGAATCTTATTGGAAAGATTATTTTAAATCTTTTACTGATTTAAGTTTCTATAATTGGATTCAATTCAACGTTTTTGGTAAAAGACCAGAAAAAACAAAAATTTTACTTGACTCGTGTCAATACTTGGAAAACTCCAGAAGGAAATACTTTTCAATCAACTCATCCTCCTTTGCAAGAAATAGTTATTCCTCATGGAAAGACCGAAATCCTTGCATCTCCACTCAAAATGATTCTTAAGGAATGATTTAATGAATCTCAGATTGTTGCTAAGGATATAAAAAATATTCAATCTCAGAACAATTATACTAATGTTGTTCTTCAATCTATGTGTTCTCAGCTCAATCGCATCGAATCAAATTCTAAATCTGAGAATATTACTTCTCAAAAAGATTCTTCTAAAGAGTCTTAAGAAAGTAATAGTGAAGATAAGAATTTATCAAAAGCATCGTCCTCATCCTCTTCAATTTTCAAAAGTAACGATATTATTCCTCAATTTGGAAATTTTTCTACTCTTCAAACTGAAAGTGAAATTCTTTCTGAACTTGCCACTCAATTAAAAAAATTTCATGTTTCCAAAAACATCAATACCATTGATGAGATTGAAGCTCAATTTATTAACGAAAAATTTGATTCAATTAATAAATTGAGAAAATCCGATTATCAAAATATTCCAACATTTTATCCTCGTCCTTCGTTCCCAGACTAGCTTTTTGAAGAAAAAGCTAATCATCAAAGAACTTATGATGGTAATTCCAATGTCGAATGGAATCTCGCTGGACTTACCGAATATCAAATCATCAATTTTATGGGACAAATGATCATGTTTTACAAAATTTATCTTGCAAAAGGCACATAAAGAAGAGATGCTACTAATAATATTGTTCTTGAATTCACTGGACAGCTTGGTCAATGGTGGGATAATTATCTTTCTCATACAGAGAAGGATATTATCTTTTCTGCTGTCAAACGTGATGAAAGTTATAACATTATTCATGATGAAAATGGAAATGAAGTTAGTGATAGTTTTACCGTTTTTGGTTTAACTATTATCAAACATTTTATTGGTACTCCTAAAAATATTGTTCAAATGCAAAATGACATTTTAATAAATTTAAGATGTCCAAAACTACAAGATTTTCGATGGTACAAAGATATGCCTTTATCTCATATCATGATTAGATAAGATTGTTAATAATCTTTTTGGAAAGAAAAATTTATTTCAGGACCTCCAAAACTCTTTACAGAAAGAGTCAAAAATTCTATTTTTTAAGAATTTGATAACTTTCAAACAGTAATTATGGTGAAATTATCAGTTATATCAATAAAGAAACTTTAAATTTGTGCAATGATTTAAAACTCAAAGCCAAATTGAAAATAGAAAAGTTTGAAAGTCGAAAAAAACTTGGATCTTTCTGTGAATAATATAGTTTTGAAAAAATCATTCTTCCTTCTTCAAAATCCAAAAAAAATTATGGAAATAGGAAATTTTGTAAAAGAAAATATTCCAAAAATTATTCAGAAGAATTTTCTAATAAAAGAATATTTTCAAAAAGAAACCCTTTTTCAAAGAAGAAAATTTCAAAAAATTCTTCAAGTATCACTTGCTGGAAATGCAATAAAACTGGTCATTATTCCAATAAATGTCCACTTAAAAAGAAAATTAATAGTCTTCAAATTGATGAAGATACTAAAACCCAACTTTTCAATCTTATTGAATTAAGTTCTGATAATTGAATCAAGTTCTGATAATGAGTCTAACTCAAAATTAGAACAAATTTTTCTTAATCAAGAAGATTCTGATTATGAACCTTCTCTTCATTCTTCTGATACTTCTTCAAACTCAGATAAAGAAATTTATGGTTGTAAAACTATAAATATTTTATCTCGAGAAGAAGAGATTATTCAAGATATTATTGACAGGATTGATAATCCTAATCTCAAGAAAAAATTCTCCTCCCTTTTACCTTTACTTCAAAACAAGATTTTGATGATATCAATATCAATCACATTCTTCAATGAGCTCAAAAAGAATTTTCAAAAGGTTTTAAACCTTCCATTCCTGATTTTTCAAGAAGAAAATAAAAGTATGAAAACTCAAATCTCATATCTTGAAAATCAAGTTAAAGAAATTCACATGACAGTCGTTTATATGAAAGCAAAAGATTTAAATGATGAATTTTATTCAAAATTCAAAGGAAAATCGAAAGTTTCTTCTAAACGATCTTCAAAATCTTCATTTGATTGCTCATTAGATTCTGATTTCAAAATTCTTAAATCTGAAGAAGAAAATGTTAATGTTATTAATCGAATTCAACTTCAAAAATGGTACTGCAATATGACCATTGTTGTAAATAAAAAATGCAAATTTACAACACGGGTTCTTATTGATTAAGGAGTAGATCAAAATTGTATCAAAGAAGGCTTGATTCCTATAAAATATTTTGAAAAAACTATTGAGCGTCTTTATGGTGTTAGTGGGAAAAAGCTTAATATAAATTATAAAATTTCAAAAACTCACATTTGTAATTCAAATATTTGTTTCAAAAATATTTTCTATCTTGTAAAAGATTTAGATCAAGAAGTTATTTTTGGTACTCCTTTTTTTGTTCAAATTTATCATTTTAAAGTCGATTATAAAGGATTAACTACAAAAGTTTTTTGTCAAAAAATATTTTTTTAATTTACAAATCCTCTTTCTTATAAAGATATCAATTCTTTAAAAGAAGCTGCAATTTCAAAAATTATTAACAATATTAATTTAAAACGTAACCATATTCAATTTCTTAAAGAAGAAATTCAGTTTCAAAAAATAGAGAAAAGATTGCAAGAATATTCTTTTCAAGAAAAAATTTCAGAACTTCAAAATGGAATTGAAAAAGAAATTTGTTCAACAATTCCAAATGCCTTCTGAGATAGGAAGAAACATGTTGTTTCTCTTCCTTACAATTCTGATTTTCATGAATCAAATATTTCTATAAAATCTCGTCCTATTCAAATGAACAAAAAAGTACTTGATTTCTGCATCAAAGAAATTGATGATTTACTTGAGAAATGTTTGATCCGACCAAGTAAATCTCCATGGAGTTGTTCAGCATTCTATGTCAATAATTTTGCTGAAATTGAAAGAGGAGTTTTTCATTTGGTGATCAATTATAAACTTCTTAATACTTCTCTTCAATGGATTAGATATCCTATTCCTCAAAAGAAAAATCTTTTGAATCGTCTTTGTAAAACGGTCATCTTTTCAAAATTCGATATGAAGTCAGGTTTCTGGTAAATTCAAATTAAAGAAGAAGACAGATATAAAACTACCTTTAATGTTCCTTTCGAACAATACAAATGGAATGTTCTGCCATTCGGTCTAAAAAATGCTCCCTCTAAATTTCAAAAAATTATGAATGATATTTTTAATCCTTATTCAAATTTTATTATTGTTTATATTGATGAT